TCTGAATTTATTGCGCCAAAGCTCCCATTCAAGATGGTGTGACCAAGATTACAGATATCTAGATCCAACTAATAATCTTAATGTTAACTAATACAGGTCTAGTATTTTCAAAATCATCTGTGGAATTTGAACTCTAGACCTGCCATCTAGGGGTGCAACAACTCCACCACTTTACTAAGTCACCACACCCTTTATGCCAAATATTTTGTAAAGCAAGGCTAGGACTATAATTGGTTAATTTTGTAAAAATTAGAACCTTTGGCCAATTGGCTGGCCAAAGGCCAAAAAAATTGTTTGGCCACTAAAAATTGCCAATACTGTATTAGCAGATAGCATATAAAAACTATCTCTAAATAACAGATACTAGTTTATAGTCCTTGTCAATCTTATATTCTTCTTCTCTAATATAATTCTACTATTTTTGCAGAAATTTTGTTTTAAAAAGTTGGTCCAAGTGATCATCAGAAAGAGTTGATTTGAAGTAGCTAAATCAATTACAGAAATATATTTTAAATGTCTTGATTTATATATACATCAATAGCTACTATATATTTAAAAAGTTTTTTCTCTTTATATTGATATTTTTTATTATAGTAAGTAAGAATTTCTATAAACTTAACAATAACCAGATTTTGTTTAGCAAGCTACTTGGAAGAAGAATACTTTAAGAAACTATCTAAACTAAATTACTTATAACATTTTATTAAATTCACTATATCCTTATATAAGTTACTTCTTTCTTTTTTTGCAATTTCTATTATAGAATTAATATGCTCTTGTTAGTTAGTAAATTGTTTATTTAATTTTTTTCTTAATTCTTTATTTTTAGATAATAATTGTTTATTAAAATTTTCTAATTTCTTTATTTTATTTAAGAGTATCTCAATGTTGGATCCAGTAAAAATACTTAAAATCCAAAATCAACAGAAGTTTTTTCTAATAAATTAACTTGAGTGCCAAAATTAACAAAAGTTTTTTTAAATAGATTAAGTTGCAACTTATTGTCAATATTAGAGAATTTTTCTGATTTATCTAAATCTAAAGAAACTAGTTTATCTATTTTTTTAATTTATCAATAAAAGAGTTTTTAGCAACAATTTAATTGTAGTAATGTTCATATAAAGAAAAACACTTTATAGAATCAAATAACAAAGTTAATTTAGAAAAATACTTGGCCAATTCTTTAGTCTTTTTAATACTACAAGTATCTATGCATTTTACCATTTTGATTCTTATCAGTTTTACAAATCACTGTATATTTTATTGCCTCACTTTTTGAATTTTTTTAAGTAAGAAAAGTAAAAAAAACAAAGTGGTTCTTTTGTCTTTAAACTTGAATCTATTGCTAATTAATATATAAATATATGTGATTTTAAACTTAATTTAAAAGAAAACTAATTTGTTAGTGCTTTGAAATTCTGAAACTACATATTCAAAAATATACTTTTTTAATAGCTAGCTTTGACTTTTGTTATGGGACTAGACTGACATGGTATTTATGACTTTTTATATAAAAGACTATCAAATACTAATTACATACTAGTACATAATTATCAACTATTCTAGAAATGATTTTTAGATTTGAAATACTCCCAACTGTGATATACAAGATGAAACTAAGTCTAATAATAATAGATAGAATATAAATCTAGAAATTATTAATAAAGAAGGTAATAAATTTTGGTATAGCTATAATAATAATAAAGAAACTATAGCTATCTAAGAAAAAAAAGATAAATATCATAGATCAAAAAGAGAAAATAATATGTTTATAGTAAAAGTAGAGAATCATAGAGAACAAAAAATAAGTATTAAAGTAAAAGATATCTTACTTGAGCCTACTAAACAAATCTCTAATAAAATTGACAACCAAGATAGTACTCGAAATATAATACTAATAAGCTTTTAGAAATAGCTACTAACTATTGTTATATATTAAACTTTACTTATTGTAACTAATTTTATAGAAAGATATATTATATATTTTTCTATTTGATAGAATTAAAACTCTTTATCTTAAAAATAATAAACTAAAACCAAACCATTTTTATAACAAAGCATTTTGGCTACTAAGTAATTATATATAAACTAAGAAATTTGTTAACTCTTAAAAAATTGAATTATGGCTAGTTTCTAATATATTATATATTTAGGGTGTGGCGACCTAGTGAAGTGGTAGGGTTGCTGCACCCCAAGCAGCAGGTCTAGAGTTTGAATTTCACGGATGACAATTTTGAAAATTAGGCCTGTGATATGGTTAACGGTTATTGACAATCAGTTGGGCTTAGATATCTGTAACCTTGGTCACACCATTTTGAATGGGAGCTTTGGTGCAATAAATCCAGAGAACTGGAATAACTGAAAACCTGTTTGGCAAGTCCTGAGTTGGAAGTAGCAGTGATCTTTAATGCTACTACAGGAAGGCTAGATTCAAAACTGGAGACTGAGATTGAAGAACTGAATGACCAGGTTCTTTAGTGAGAGACATACTAGCCGAACTGCCAAAATGCCAACCAGAGAAAAAGAATATGTGCTTTGGAAGTATGTACTAAGAGAAGGGTGACTGTGAGGCACTTAGAGCCTGGGCAGACCAACCCTTCCGGGTTGCTAGCTGGAAGTAAGGGAGGGACTGATAAAGAATCTGAGAAAGAAGAAGGTTTGAATGTGGGTACCAGGATTGTTGTGAGTCTTACAAGCACAAAAGTAAGTAATAGGGAACTAAATTAGGAAGGTTGTGGCTTGAGATACGGACTGGGTTGTAGCAGCATCCAAAGATGGTTTGAGATACGAACCGGGTGATAGCAGCACAGCAGGTACTAGTTAAGAGAAATGTTACTAAACATGCAGGTGAGCACATGTGTGGGATATGTACCATTCGGTTAGGTTTACTACAAGAATAAATACCCCCCTGTTCTGAAAGGAATGAGTGTTGGTTTGGCTAAAGTCCTAGGGCCTTTAACGGTAAATTAACCTGAAAGGGTATATTAGGAGGAAGCATGGGACAGAGGTGGTACCAAAGAGTTTAAATAGATAGCTTCCTAGTTAGGCTATAGGTATGGCAGCTAGTGTAGAACCTTCAGGCGGACTACTTAAATTAGATAACCAAAAGTTATATGTGTGGCTAGTTGTACTCTTGTAATACTGATGTAACATGTAGTCAAGTCTTCGGACATATGGTCTAACTGCTTGTACTAATAAAGTGTCAAGGGCCTAAGTAGTCACCTTAATATTAAAAATATATATATATATATTATATATTTTTTTATTTGATAGAATTAAAACTCTTTATCTTAAAAATAATAAGCTGAAACCAAACCATTTTTATAACAGAGCATTTTGGCTACTAAGTAATCATATATAAACTAAGAAATTTGTTAACTCTTAAAAAATTGAATTATGGCTAGTTTCTAATAAAAGTTAATATGGAAAATATATTTAATAGTAATTAGAATTAACTTGAGTTGTATAAAACAAATAGATATTGAAGCTATTAATATCTATAGAATTAATTAACTTTGTAATTATTATAAATTTATTATCTTAAACCAATAGCTTCTAGAACCAATATAATACTTCTAGAATTGTAAAAAAAAAAAAATTTGATAAATAAATATAATAAGTAAAATAAGTTAATATAAATAAAAAAAATCTTAGACAGATTTAATAAATATGCAATTACAGTTGGACCTCCCAAAACTGATCCTGTTAAATCTGATAATCTATCAAATCTGATAAAATATTCAATTACCAAGTCTGTTTCTGCTATATTAATCAAATAGTTTATAATGATTTCAAATCTGATAACCTCTCAATACTGATACAAAACCTGCCCACCATGCACACCGATTTTGGGAGGTTTAACTGTAGTTAGAATAAGTTGGAACAGATAGTAGAGCTTTTTCTAAATTGAAACAAATTAATATATAAAAAATAAAAAGTCACAAAAATAAAATTTAAAAAAGTAATAGTAAATCATATTTACTTTGAAAAAAAAAATCTTGTACTAGAAAACTACAAATTTGACTATAAACAAAAATCTAGCTTAAGTTATTGGTATCTTGATAATATAAGAAACAATAAAATCCTCAATATATAAACACTACCTTCAAGAGCAATACTTGTTACCAAATTTAGATATGAATAAAAAGAATAAGATAATTAGATTAGTAAAAAGTTAAAACTAAAAGATAGCTTTCTATATAAGCCTAATTTACATTATCTAAAAAAAATAATAAGAATAATTCAAAAATATGAGATTGATACTATTCTATTAATAATGTATAACTATGTTATAAGTAGATATTTAGAAAAAAAAGCTATGTTTGAGAAAATTAGAGAGATTTACTTTTAGTTTAAAATAGTCAACAATATAAAGATTATATAAAAACTTATAATAATTGTCAAAAGAGAAATAAAAATAAAATAAGAGATCTTTTACTCCCTATATTTATATCTGCTCTTTCCTATCAGATTGGAATAGATATTATGAGTTCTCTACTAATAACTCTCTGATTTAACCATTATATTATAGTAGCAATAGATTACCTAACAAAGTGGCCTGAATCCAAGACAATTCTGTTTACAATTGCTCAGAAAGTCTCTGATTTTATCTTTGAAAAAATTATTTACTATCACAAATGTTCTAAAAAGTTGCTATCAGATTATAGCATATATTTTCTAAATTATATAATAAATCAGTTGCTAGAAAAATTGCATATTAAATATCTATATTATACCAACTTCAAACAAATAAGTTGGTGAAATATTTCAACAAGATCCTCTGTAAAGCTATTGCTAAGTTAGTAAAAATTATTACCAATTGAAATTTGGTAATATTAGCTATTTTGTTTACATATTAGATAAAAAAATATTTGATTACTAAAATCATATTATTCTTTCTAACTTATAGACAGAGAGTATAGTTATCTATAGAACTAAGTAGAACAAGAGAATTAGGTAATAAAATGATAATTCAAAAAACAATGAAGCTAATTAAAAAACTACTTAATATTCATAACTCTGCTATCATATAAGTCTAACAAGTACAAGTTAAGATAAAGGAACAATATGACAAGACTACTAAGCCAAGTTCTAACTTAAAAATCAAAGACAAAGTTTTATTATATTAAGTATTAAAAGAATACAATAGAAGTATGAAGTTAGAACTAAAATAGATAAAGCTATATTATGTTTACAATATTCTCTTCAAAAATGTATTCAAATTATAAACTTTAAATGAGAGTGTTATAGCAGCACCCATTAATATCAAGTTGTTAAAAAAGTATTACAAGTAATCAAATATCTAATATGGGTTACAAAAAAAAAAATATAAATTTTAAATACTATCCTAATAAAAGAGATGATATAAAAATAGCCAGATTATAAAAGAAAAAGGTATAAGAAAAAGAAGAAAAATAATATAAAAAAAGAAAATAAATCTTAAAATAGATTTTTTCTATTGTCAAATAAATATGCCAATTACTCTAAATAAGATTATTAATAATTTTACTTCCTTATACTCCTGAATGTTAATCTTATTTCTTTGCTATTTGATATAACTTATAATTACTTTAAATATATAATTAAAATGCAAAATAATCTACAAAGAGCTATAAGGCTCAGACAACAAACAGATACTCTGGCTTACAGATATTATCTGATATGTTATATGCTACTAGAACCAAGCAACAAAATACTTGTTTTATAAGTTAGTGTCAAGATATTACTATATAGCCTCTATTTGTATTTATGATATCTTCTCTATATACAGAATAGAACAAATATATCAGACTATAAAGGTATGTCTTACTAACTTCCAAAAGTTAAAGTTGGCTAATCTCTAACTTTTATTAGGCTCTTTGTGAAACTTGAGCATAAATAGGAGAAAAGTGTGAGCCTTGAAACCCAACATACTAACTGCAGCTCAGTACAGCCCAAAGATCATAGATCAAGTACAATTTATTGCATTTATTGTATTTATTATATTTGCTGTATTTGTAAAATTTGTTAGATAAATTAGCTTTGTTATATAAATTGGGTTTATATCATTTATGCTATTTATTGTTATACTTAATCTTTTATTATAATTAAAGGCTATAAAGGCTCTAGAGAAAAGAAGTTTCATACTGCTTACAATTTTTGTTCCAAAATTAATACTCTTACTCTAGTATCTTTTAACCTATATAAACCTAAGTAACTTGATTTAACACATCTTAGTAATTACTTACTACTCAGATAATTCACTAAGTAGCATAGTGAAAAATCTTTGTTTGCCTAATTGTCTTGCTTATGTGACTTTGCGAAAAATTGTTTTCTGGTTGATTCTCAATGTGCTGAGGACTGCTATGGTTTTCTAACTCTCTCAACATGCTGTAGATAGTTGTAGTTGTTTTCTAGTATCCCGACATACTGTGGATTCAGTGGTTGTTTTTGTTCCTGTTTGAGATCCAAGAAGAAGTTCCAAAAATTGACAGGGCATAGGATCGATTTTCCGGTCACGTGATTTTCCGACGTAATATAAAAAAATTTATTTACGCTAGGGTTTGGGTTTAGGTTATGATTTGGGTTTGAGAGCTATTATATAGTAAAATTGCACAAGGAAAATTTTTTGTTAGGATCAAAAAGTCGATTTACTAGTCTATATTTCGTGAAAAACAAATTTTGCAAAGCGATCGTTTGTTTTGATTTTCTTTACGTTACAACTGATCTCGGTTTTTAATTGGCTAACTGTCGGCGGAAAATCACGTAAACGGAAAATCGATCCTATGCCCTGGCGTTGTTAGAAGATCCAAGCCGTGGTTTTGTGTATTTTTTTTATAGTGAGTAGAAAGTATAAGCGTTATTGTACATCTTCAAGTTTTCAAGACAAGTAAAGGAAGATAAACCTACGAACAAAATCCCCACTCGCCAAACATAACCGTCTCTTTCGGCTAAGCCGATCGTAGGTTACACGACGCTTCGGATCGATTAACGACAGGCTCGCCGTTTTCAGTTGTCAATATAAATCTAGCAAAAATCCTATTTAAATTATATTAAATATTATTTAACTTACATACTTATAGGTAAGTTACATTATCTTATATTAAAAAATTAAAAGTTTCTGCAAGCTTACAACTCGATATACTTCAAAGAGAAATCCCCAATATGAATTGTACACTATATTTGAATGAACTTCTCAATTACCAATCCTGCTCTTCATGTGATTTAAATACTAGAATTCATCTATTGCTTAATATATAATTACAATAACTTCCAAAACTAGAAATAGATAAAATAAATCCTTTACTGCGCCTTTTTTTTTCGAAAGTATAAATAATGGAAAAATAGATACTATTCTTTAACATCCCAATTTGGTTACAAGTGTTACAATATGTATGCAGAGCAATGTGATACATAATTTAAAAAATTTGACGCTACACATTCTTCCTTCTGTTAAAATGTCAATTTGCAACAACCTTCTTGAAAGGCAACCTGAAAAAATCGATAGTTCATCGGATATTATTCAAATAACCAAAAATGTTGCCCAATTATATTTAGAAGATAACAATTCGCAAGATTTTTCTCGGAATTTTCTTAATGAAATTGTTAAAGAAATGTGTAGTCTGTATAATGAAGAAAGATTAAAAGGCATAAATTCCCGTCCAGCTCTTGATACATTAGAACAATTTCTAATAAAGAAAAAGCAAAATCCAGTTAATATTATCAAATTTTGCCTAAATAATCAAATCAATTCTACGGTTCAAATCATTCTTGCAAATTGTTATCATTTTGGTAAGTGGATTGAAAAGGATGAACATAAAGCATTTATTTATTATCAAAAATCTTCTGATATGGGTAACGCTATTGGAACAAATAGTGTTGGATATTGTTATGATGAAGGAATTGGTGTTGAAAAGGATGAACATAAGGCTTACATTTATTATCAAAAATCTGCAGAAATGGGATACGTAGGAGGGGCATATAATGTTGGATGTTGTTATGATAAAGGAACTGGTGTTAAAAAGGATGAATATAAAGCATTCATTTATTATCAAAAATCTTCAGAGATGGGCGATGCTGATGGAACATTCAATGTTGGATATTATTATCGAAATGGAATTGGAGTTGAAAAGGATGAACATAAAGCTTTCATTTATTATCAAAAATCTGCTGATATGGGATATATTAATGGAATATACATGGTTGGGTATTGTTATGAGCATGGATTTGGAGTTGTAAAGGATGAAAATAAGGCATTCATTTATTATCAAAAATCTGCAGAGATGGGCGACGCTGATGGAACAAATAATATTGGATTTTGTTATCAAAATGGAATTGGGGTTGAAAAGGATGAACATAAGGCATTCATTTATTTTCAAAAATCTGCAGAAATGGGTAATGCAAATGGAACATATAATGTTGGTTATTGTTATCATGAAGGATTTGGAGTTGAAATGGATAAACATAAGGCATTCGTTTATTATAAAAAATCTGCAGAGATGGGGCAAGTTAGTGGAATATATATGGTTGGATACTGTTATCACAATGGAATTGGAATTGAATATAATGAACATAACGCATTCATTTATTATCAAAAATCTGCAAATATGGGAAATGCTAACGGAATAAATGAAGTTGGAAATTGTTATCTTTATGGAATTGGGGTCAAAGAAGATGAGTATAAGGCATACATGTATTATAAAAAATTTGTAGAGATGGTTATCGCTAGTGGAATGTCAAGCGTTGCATAATTTATCGAATTTGAATTAAAAATGTGATATAATAAAGTCATGATATCAAATGTAAATTTAATTTGAGCTTAAGTCTGTGTGGTCATGTACTTCAATCTAGGGTAGAGCAGTAACCTAAAACTGCAAAAAATTTTAAAAAGGTTAATTCCTAAGCTAAATTCGAGTTATAGCACCTAATTTTGGTTAAGATTAATTTAATAATGCTGACCTAATAGTATGTACGAGATTGGTACAATTTATTGATTTTCCGAGACCCAGATTTTTTACTGTAGCGACAGGTAAACAATTAATGAAAATGTTAGTAAAAAAAATACAAATCCTATTAAAGCAGGTAGTTGCTAATTTAATTTATCAAAATTATCATAGTAATTGATTGAATATAGCGGTATAGTCAGCCCAATTTATATATACCTAATAATAGTTAATTGACAGACTGTTAAATTTGGTTTTAAACGAAACAATAATTGATACTATACATTCTTAGTATAATAAAAAAGAAAATCAATAAATGAATGTATAAATGAAAAAGGTAAAGCAAAGAAAATCTCGTTTATAAAAAGAGCAATTTATAAATAAAAATTTACGGTCTTATATTAGATGTTTCAATATATACACTATAATTTATTCTTCTATATATTATTGTTAGTAACTAAAGTTATAACTTTATTTATTTGTTAATACCATCTAGCCACTTTGGCTTACCAACCTAGTAGACATTTTCGAAGTTGTAAAGCCGATACTTTGTATATAACATGTAATATGTGATTGTAACTTTTATAGCATAATCCTAATATTGGCATTTGATTGTTGTTAGACAATAAATAACAACAAACTTGATAAATATTTATTTAATAACTTCATATTTTTAAATTGCCAAGTGTGAAGTGGATTTAATTAGGTATTATAAATAGGATATCATAATTAGACGTAATTTTATAAATGAATTCGTCACCTAATCTAGTTGTACTCTTCTAATCAAAATTATATATTAAATAGATGTGATAAATGTTCATGATAATTTAATTTATATAATTCCGTTAATTGATATTTATTTTTTGCTAATATACAGTCGATACTGTCTAATTGCATACTATCCGTCAGAGGCTTTTTTATGCATATAGACAATATATGCATTTAAGTCATAAGAACCATCTTTGCGTTAATAATTAAAAGTCAAAATTTTTTATGCATTTAGAGAGTATATGTAATTAGACAGTATGCAATTAGACAGTATCAACTGTATTTTATAACTTTGAAAAATAATATGCTAAATGGTATAAAGCCAAAAATGTACCAATTTGCTCTAATAGAGTAAATGGCTTGATAATAATTTTTAATTAAAAGGATGCTTTTATACATATTGGCAATTAAATATTAATAAGAAACAATAAGGTTTTTGTTATAACTAGACATCAGATACTAAAATAAATCAAAGTTCAAAAAGAAGAGTTGTAATATAATTGAAAAATTTTTTAATTAAATTTATTTAATTAATTAATTATGTAAATAAGATAATAATTTATAATAACTA